GCTGCTTCTGGGCTGTCAAGCTGATACTTGTCTTTTTGTAGCCCATTGATGATCTTGAAAGCATAAAATAACCACAACGCATGGTGCTCTGGACAACGCATCTCCTGTGCAAGGACTTGGAAGTTGGGCTAGTGCAAAATACGTGTGTGGAAGGTGTCAGGAGATGGCACATGCCCATCTCTTTTCCTCTAACACAGAATAAAGCTAGCTAATTACAGACAAAGCTGTTCTAAACAAAGTTGACAGTCCAGGCTTTGTTACCTTGAGAAGGATGGAAATATCCTTGGTCTTTTTAATAACCTTTCTGTTGTTTGTGATTGAATATGATCCAATTGCTCTAATGGAGAAGAATATTATGCACAGCATGAGTCAGCAACACTTTCTTCCTGGAACAGCTGACAGCAAAGAAAGTTCCCAAACTCTCTGCAGAAATATTTCTTCCCCCAGATGAGGATCTGGACTGCGCCCACCAATACCTGCTGGTGTCTCCCCTTGAGTTGGACCTGTACTTGTCTGACTGGAATATGGAACCATCCAAGGTTCATTCAAGGTCAGAAGACACAGCTCGATGTGCAGCAAAAGCACTTGGGAGCCTAACGCGGAAGAAGAGAAGGAAGCCAGTCGCAGAATTTTGGAGTGCCAGTGCATGTTCCAGTGGTCGGGAGCTTTGAAATGAGGCCCTCGACAGCACTGGCAATGGGATGGTGTTAACATTGGTTAATTCCAAATGTTTAGGCTCATCTGAGGTCATCCAGTAAACAAGACTGAGTTCTTTCTTGTAAAATACAGATATATAGCCACCAGCTAAAGGGTGGTTGGGAGCAGACTTGAAAGCTACTAATCAATATATGCATTTTCCACTCTGTGATAGGAAAAAATAGACCAAAAATTCTTGCCCTGTTAGGATAAATTAAATGAGGTGGCGTACCTTAAAATACTAAATCTTAGAAGCGTGCAGTAGGCTCTTGGGTAAAACTATGGACTTCAGTGAAAAGATGCTAGGAATCAGTTTTCCCTGCTTTACTGTATAGTCCCCTCAGAGATTAACCCACCTGCCTACTGACATTGTCCTGCTGCAGTGTTTGTGTTGTGTTGAGAACAGCCATCTGATACAATGTTCCAGCAAGTGAAAGACAAACGGGCCTGGCATCTGAACAGTCTCCCTGTACAAATCCAGACTTCCACTGGAATTTTTTGCCAAGCAAAGCTATGGTCTGATAAGCAATCCCAAGTTTTGCATTGACTTTTGTTCTTTCTGTTGTGGCTGTTGGATATTTGCTGCCACTGGATGAAGTTTCTGGCAGCTACCAAGTGATTAGCTATGGTGGGATCCAACATTTTCCTATGGAATGAGCATTTCTGCCAAAGGTACCAACCCAAAGCAGAGCACTGCTGCTTTTTAAAGAATCCAGACATATTAAACCACCTAAATCACTCCCTGTTCAATGCCAAGTCATCTGGCCTTCTCCCTGCTCTGTGCTCAGGTCAGTCAATGTGCCAAACGCTTCTGTCCCATGAGCTGAGACGTTGCTCTGTGCCAAACCATATCCACTGGGGTCTCTGCTCGCCACCTTGGACCTCAGGGGAGAGGAAGGGATGTGGGCACATAGGCAAGACTCACATTTCACAAAGTTCCTGATGATTTTTAGAAAGTTTACAACAGAGCCCCAGACCTTAAAAGAACAGTGTGATTGCCACAAAGAACAGTGTGGGAAAGCCAGTATACATGCATGTGCAGCCCTCCCACTCGCATACTGACTACCCCAGATATAGGCATACCCACAGATCAGCACCTACACACAAATGTTTTTGACACACTTATTCTCAGCATCCTGTTCTTTTACAGCAGCCTCAGTTGGAGGAAGGGAGAAAATATGTTCCTTCTAACCTAATCTTCTAATGACCTTTCTGCCAGCTCCACTTTCCTGCCTATCTCTAAGCTGCCCGTGGTGGTGATGGGACAAGATCCCAATGTAGAGAGTGATTTTCCTCCTCAGAGGTCAGGAGGGTCGGTCTGCTAGATTGTGATGTGCTGCCCAATTGCTCTTAAGAGATTCAGCGTAAATAAGGAGATAAGAAAATTGTTTACGATCATGTCTCTTGAGCCCCTTACAGCTCTGCCAGAGTTCTTGCAGCGTTGAAGGACTGTGACTGTGCTGCAAACCTGGTGCAAGTGGGCTCCCATCGCCTCTTCCCTTCCTGGATTGCAAACTCCCTGCCAAGCCTGGCAAGCCAGTCTCAGTCCTCTCACTCTGCCCTGGACGTTTCCTACAGTTGTCTGCAACTGCAGGGAAGAAAAGCAGGGGAGCAGGCAAACATGGCAACATGCCATAGTAGCTGGCTCCAAATGCTGCGGTACAAGCTAATATTTAGAGGGTGACCATCTCAGCTTTTGTTGAGAGGCTTTTAGAGCTCTGTAGGACATGCTCAACGGCTGTCTCCCAAAGCTGTCCCATGGCAGTCTGGGGGCTGTGATGAATTCTTCTGGCAGGAGATGCCTGACTCCCTTGCTCCACTCCCTCTCTCTGGGAGGATGGGGGAGATGGGCACTTCTCAATTGCAGGGTGTTCCTGGCCTTCTCACTGCCTGTCAAGGGGAGATTCATTAGCAGCAGGGAGGCAATTCTCTCTCATCTCTGCTCTGGAATTGGAGTCGTTTGTCTCAGGAAGGAGCCCAGGCTCCTCACTCACTATGTGGCAGCTTCTACTCAAGGGAGACAAGCACTTCGTCAATAAACAAGGAGCCTGGGGAATGGCTCCAGCTGACAGAGGACATTATTAACAACTGGCACTTTGGCCGAGGGTAGATCAGCCTCCCATTAGCTGCTTTAAGAGGGGAAAGAGAAATAGAGCTAAAGATGGCAGCCTTGTGAGGAACTGGGAGTTTCAGCATCCTCCTGCAAAGTCCCCCGCTGCAAGGCCCAGGGCTGGCACAGCCCCCAAGGAGTGACTGTATATTTCCCCAGCGTCAGGAGTCTGCAAACTGTGACAGCAGGAGACAAGCCCAGCTTGGGAACAGTTTTGCTTCCCAGCCCATCATGGGTGGACTCTGCGACGGAGGTCTTCCAGACCAGAGCTTCCCCATCCCCTCTGTCCCTCTCTCAGTCTGCCCTGGGTACAAGGGGTATCTTCCAGTATCTGCTACTGCAGCTTCTTGCTTTGGAGTGCCTGTGGACGCTTGTGCACCTCCTTCCCAGGCCCTGCAGTGAAGAAGGCATTGAGGGGATCTGAGAAGAGTCTGTTCCACTGCCTTCACTCTTGGCAAGTGGTTGGTACAAGGAAGAGTAAGAACACCATCCCACGTGGCTGTACGCTTCTGGCTGTGACTGGAACAGCTGTTGACTCTTGCCATGTTTGGACTCCTCAGGTGGAAGAAGCCTCAAAGCTCTAAGGCAACTCTTGATTCACCTTAGAGTCATACTTAATTTGCCACAGCACCATCAGGGTGGAAGCAGAGAAATCCTGGCTTTGTTGTGACCTTGACAGTTCATCCTTTTCTGTCCTACAGCCCTAGAGCTGCCAGGAGAGTGAGTGCTTGGCTCCTGCACAAAAAAAAGCATGTGGTGCAAGTACTCAGCCTATGGGTTAGGTCTTTGTAGGGCCTTTTGTTTGGAACGACACTCGCAAAGAAAGTTGTGAAATCTTTCAGCCAAACACCTGAGTGTCCAACCAGCCTGCTGCATAGACAGGGTGTAGTTTCAGTGTCATCTTGGTCTTCACAGTTCTTGAAGGAGGTAGCTCTTCATGCCATGGCTTTGTATCACTGTGGAGCTGCAGCTGTGGTGGCTTCATAGCTAAGGGTGCATTTGCTGTCCTGTTCAGATCCTGTTGCCTGGGTGTGGTGGTGAGTTTTTAATGCAATTTAAATCTCTCTTCAGACTGAATGCTCTTATGCTCAGCCTGAGATCAGAGGAAAATGTTTTGGGGACTCATCCCTTTTCTTTAAGAGATTATTCTGTTACCATAACAGGCCTGAAGTCCGGAGTTCAGAGCTGGCTCTAGGTTTAGTAGCCTCTTACTTATTCTGGGACTTGGGTGCCTGGAAAAGGAATGGATGGATCTGACATCCAAATTCTTTGCTTCACATTATCTAGCCTGTGGCTGTTTAGATTTAGAATTCAGGTGTGAGCCCATCTTTGGCAGACTTGTGCAGGTGAACCACCAGTTGATTTCTACTTGCAGAAAGCTGGGAAAACTTTACCACAAGACTGGCTCAAGGTCTCTCCCTTGTGGTTAAAAATTACTATCCTGGGGCTGAGAGCGTTGTAGGGTCCCTGGACCCCTGCCTCCAGGCTTGCTTCCACCATAGCAGAAAAGAATGAGGGACTTCTAGGTCTGCTGGTATTTATAAGCTGAAACAGGTCCCACCCAGATAAATGGTCCATTTCTGCTCCAAAATGAGCTCTGGACTCTGCTCCAAGCCCCTAAGTGGATTGCCTTCTGGCCAGCCTAGCTCTCTGGTGATTGAAAAGCCGAGAGGAGTTAGAAGGGGGGGTGGGTAGGGATGCGATGTTCAGAGTCTGTGTGGACCCAAACTAGCTGGATTCACTGAACTCATCACTGAAATCACTTCTAGCGATTCCTCTCTGTTTTAATTCTCCCTGAATCAGCCCTCTCCCATGAGTGAAACAATCTTGCCTGCAGATTGAGGGGGGTGGGAGGGATTTGAACATTAATCTGATGTAGATTATACATCCGCCTCCCTCTCTCTCCCCTTCTCCCTCTCTCTCCCTCTCTCTCCCTCTCTTTCTGTCTGTTTCTCTCCCCTCCCTCTCCTTCCTGCTTCATCTCTTCAAGAAAGTGAACATAAAGTAAAAACACGGAGAGAGAGAGGCAGAGAGAGAAAAAGCTCCCTGAAGAGGGAAGCCCCAGCAGCCAGTAGCTGTTTGGATTTGCCTGGCACTGCCTTTCTTGCTTTGCTCCCAAGGAATACCTTTAATGGGATCAATTGCTTCAGTTCCTTTATAACCAAGTCCACCGGAAAGGCAGACTCAACATATTATGGGCAACTGTGTGAAGTCTCCACTGAGAAACCTCTCAAAAAAGGTATGTTCCCTGAATCAAAGTGCGTTGTGCATTTCCAGCCCTGCTTCTTGGGATGGGTGACGTCGTGGACAGATGGGAACGGGAGGTGGGGGAAACTCAGATATGTGTACAAAGGGTTCAGCTCTTTTCATCAGTCTTTTTTGTAAGAGCTGCTCATGCGAGTGCAGCCATTAGAGCCCGGGATGCTGGGTGCCACAGCATGTGTGTAAATAAATGTGTGTGTGTATGCATGCACATGAGTAGGCTTGTGTCCTGCTCCGTGTGTGTGTGTATAGCTGTCCTCTGGGTACGTGCAAGGTTGTGCTTGTCCATGGGCACAGTATGCCGGCACACATCTTCTGTACTGGCCTCTTAATGTATGTGTATATGTGTGAGTTTGTGTGTGTGTGTGCATGTGCTTCAGTCAAAAGGTGTCTGCATGAGTCTAGTCATGTGTGTCATTTCTGTACATATGTTCATGTACCCATGAATGGGCGTGTATCTGTTGGTGCATAAGAATATGCACACCTAGTGAGCCCATCTGAACTATATGTGTGTCCTTAGCTCTTTATGTCCCTACGTATGCATCCTGAGGTGTATGAGCAGGCATGCAATGTTTGTTATGAGTGTACAGAGGGGGGAATTTGTGTGCATCACACGTGTATCCCTGTTTGTATGGCATTGTGTGTGTGTATACCTGCTAGTGCATGTCCTCACAGAAGTCTGTATGTAGACACGCGTGTGTTTTTATGTATATCCATCCTTGTGTATGCACACATCTAGTTTTGTTGGTATGCGTTTGGGTACAGAAACATGTTTTTCTCTGTGGTCTGTTTGTCCGTGCCTCTGTGAGTGGATACACTGGGCCCTGGCTGTGTGTTCGTGCATCATGTCGCACATCAGCACAGCCCATGTGTCTACATGCTTGGGCCCAGCTGGACTTCATCTGCGAGCTGCCATGTGTATCTTCTGGGCTTCGACCCGCGGTCTGCTCTGTGCTGAGGTTTTACAGTGATCCCTGGGCAAATTAGATTCAGGAACGATTCCTCTGTTAGGGTCTAGATTGAAATGGGAATGACGTGCCCCAGAAATATTTCTTGTTTGACTGAGGAAGGTCTTGCAGCACTGTGTACCTGTCAGCTGCACGGTTCTCACTTAGCATTGATGCAAATCTAATAGCTCAGCAAAAAGCTATGCAATTCACTCCTTGTAATTGAAAAAGTTATGCTAAGCATCCGAAGAATGAGGAGCTACCTCTGTGGAGACCTTGCTGACAGTGAAATGCCACGGCCATCAGGATGCTCCACCCAGGAGACCTTGCCATCCAGGAAAGCTCCTCTGGGAGGAAGCTGCTGGCGAGAGGACCACCCTAGCAGGGAGTTTCTTCTGGATGGAGTTTAGCCTCTTCTGTGTAGAAACACAGTTTGCTTGTTATCTTGACTGCTGTAAACAAAGCCAGTAATGGCACAGTGCTGCTGCGGGGGAGCTGGGATACACAAGGAGGGAATTAATCACCAAGCAGTTAGGCAGTGCTGAGACCAGTCCCTAGGTCAGGGTGACCTTCAGGGAGAGGCAGAAGTAGTTGAGGTTTACCCAAAGTTGCATATATGAAAAAACAACTTGGTTGCTTGTAGGTCATCTCCAACTTGGAATAAAATCGCTTGGCTGCAGCTGCGCTCAACATGATCAAGGCGATTGCAATTAAAGTCTGACGTGTGGCCAGGCTGCTTGAATCAAAATGGATTCAAGAACTCATAAGCTCTGTGTCATCGGTCTTTTAGGTCATTTATGCTTTCATTCCTAAAAGCTGCTTCGAATAATGCACTTTGTGCCATGTTAGAAGGCCTGGGATGGCAGGACTAGAGAGAGAAATTTGCAAAGCTGAATTAGAGAATTTCTCAGATGTCTCTCCAGCTAGCCATGAATTAAGGCCTCAGGCACTCATTCTGACTGGTCCTGGGGCTCTGCCGTTCTTTTGATCACAACACACATGATTATAGTGGAGACTTTGCAGATCAGTCGTAACTTTGCACAACTTCACTTGGCTGTTTTATGATCCTGGTCTTTTTTCTCAGATTTTACCTTGGGCAAACTCAGTTCGCTGAAATGGTAAAGAAGAGGGACTGTAGACAACCTGTGCGAAAGCTGCTCTTGGGTGACAGACTGATCTCTTCAGTACATGATTTCAACCTGAAATCTGGGGAGTCACTCCCAGGCACCAGCTGGCTTGGTCTGGGACTGGCTGACATGGGGGTACCTTGCCTGTTTTGGTGGCAATGCTCAGGCTTTGTCTCCACAACATCGGTTGTTGGAAGCTTCACTTTCCCACTGTCACAGTGTCCCCCCAGTGATCCCAGCGGCCAGCCTGGCTGCCATTCCGAGAGGCACTGCAATCAGGATGAAGAGGCCCTTCTGGGCTTGCTGCTCCACAAAGTCCCTCTGACATGCAGGCAAGAAAATAAGGTGAATCCTATTGTGCTTCTGCTGTGCAGAAAGGGAAAGCCAACATCCAGGTCCCTTGCTTTGCCACCCTTCACCATTACTACAGCCATCTCTAAATCAGCCCAGTCTCTTCCCTCTCCACAATCTGCTGGTCTGACACAGCCAAGGGCTGGACTCAGCCAGGAAGGGTAGTGGTCCTTGCTCAGGGAAGGGACGGGGAAAACCTGAGCTCCTCAGTCCTGACCTTGCATTTTCCTTGTTGTACACACTGCTGTTGCCCCTGTAATGGTGGCTGATGTTGCTTTGCCCCATACCTATATCACAGCTCCCTTTCTGGCTCTGCCAGCATGTAGGAGGAACGTGATGGAGGGAACTTGTGGGGATGCTTGCAGGAGATACCTGGGGGGCTGCTGGCAGAAGGAACATCAAATGCCATAAATCCTGCCTTCAGCAGCAGAGCGGGGCATGGATCCCCTGTCCAGGTCTTGCTAAGACGTGCACCTCGTTTTCCTGGCACTGCATCGGGTTGTCTGGTCAGGATCCTCGGTGGCTCTTGGCAACTGTTTCATCAAACTGGCAATCTCTATCTGAACAGGAAAATAATGGGATGACCGTTCTGTGGTACTGTTCTGTGGCTTGGTAATAAATTCTATTGACTGGAAGGTCAGCAAACAAGGATTAGGGGCTGTGGAGCCTTCGATCTTTCATGTGGCTTCACTGGAATTAAACACAGAACCGATGTGGGCTATTTTAAGTGACTTGTGCTATTTGGTATAATAAACTGAAAAATGTGCCAGGAAATAAAGCTGATAATTTTGAAAATACATTGCACTGATATCACGAAACTGTGCAGTTCAACACAGATGCCTTGACATTTAGCTGAGCTAGTAATATGCCATTTGTGGACGGATGCTCATCTTTCAGGTTTTTAAGGACAAATGTCCTATGTGTCAGATTTAATCAGAGGCAGATTTATTCCTCGTCCATGACTGCAATGAAAATGCTTTTCTGCTTCATCATTTTCTTTCTCCATGGCTTGCTTTTTGAGTTGTTTTTGTTTTGATGCTTGATATTCACATGACATTATACATAAGCAGATTGGTGTAAGACTGTGTACAAAAATGCGAACTACAAACCATGTGTGCAATATAATAGCACATGGCAGACATAGCAAGTAGATACAATAGACTCGGACAAATGTGAATGGGATGTGTGTGTGTGTGTGGTCTTTTAGCCTGAAAAAGCACCTCAGGCTTTAAAGAAAGGGTTAATAGAGACAATGACAATTGACAGAGCTTCTCTGATCACCCCTGGGAGCACTGTCTGTAAAAGTAGAATAATTCCTGAAGAGGAATCTGATGTATGATTAATGGTTATTCTATAAAACCAAGGGTCCTGTGGGTTGTGCTGGCTTTTTATAGCTGCATGGGAATATCAGGATAAGAGTTTTCTTGCAGAGCCAGGGAAATGCATTTCTATAAAAGGAAAGCAGTGCCTCCTTATAAAATCCAGTGCTGGATTCTGTTCTGGAGCCCTAGGTTAGCAGGACGCGTGCAGTTAAGAAAATGTGCAAAGGCAAACAGACAAAAATGTTGGCCTGATCTCCACTTTGGGACTGTCAGTGATTAGAAAAGGCCAGTGCAGTAACTGCCCGAGACCCTGAGGATGTAACTAATTAGAAGAGGCACAGGGAGTGTGAGCCTGCAGTTGGCAGAGCCACCTGATGCTGTAAACGGCCTTCTAATAATATTATAAAGTGTGTGATGCTGTGTGCTGAAATGCAACGTGGAGACTAACACAGAGTCTTTGTGCAGGCTCTGCCTGGTCTCCTGGGGATGCCCTGGCTGAAGCAGCTCTGCCAGCAGCTTTTCCCTTGGTACAGGCTGGCACATGTACTGTTAGGCTGGCGTGTGCTTGTCCTTTGCAGCTCATTCAAGGGATTGTTAACTCTGGGGCTGATAGTGGGAGTGTGGCCCTTTGGGCTGTGTCTGGGTAGATGTGAGCAGTGCTGAGAGTTTGATGTTGTTTCAAAGGAAAATTCTGCTGGTTGGTTGTACTTCTATCAGCTTTTGAAAGTGAACTCCTGGACTTACTGCTTCTGTACAAATCCTAATAGACCATTGGGGGGGACACAGCGTGGACCAGATGAAGGAAATCTAGCAATAATGTCTCTGTGAGGTGGTTCAGTAAAACTTCAGAGGAACGGCTGGGCAAGATGGGGAGGTAACATCCTCTGTTGTGTTGTTTGCTTGCTGCTGGTTGGCTGGGAAGATCCGCCATGAGGAGAAGACGTGCTATAAGGCTGTCCAGACGAGTGAAGAGGGGCCGTCGGCTTGCGAGTACCAGGGTCCACTCATGGTGCTGGCCCAGAACTGCGCCGTCATGCACAACCTGCTGGGGCCAGCATGCATCTTCCTGAGGAAGGGCTTCGCAGAAAACAGGCAGCCTGTACGTAAGTTACACCCAGCCGGGTGAGACATGCACAAAGCCATGTGGACGCGAGCCGGGGATGTGGAGCTGCTCACATGCTCCATCTGCATGGAGCCTCGTAACCCCTAGCACTGGGTCTCGAGCATCCCGGCTCTAGCTCCAGGTGCAAATCCAATCTAGACAGGCAAATGTCTAACCCAAAGGATGTGCAGAGATATCCCTGTGCATAAACACCAAGAAAGGAGGATTCTAAAAATGCAGCTATGGAAGATAGATCCAAGCCTACACTCAAGTAGGCATAATCATATGGCCTCAGGAGTAAGGACTTAGGACTTCAGGAGACTTCAGGACTTACATAATCATAAGGACTTAGGAGGAGTCCAGTGTTCAAAGCATTCCAGCAAGGCATCCACATCTCATTCCCAGAGGCTCAGATTAGCTTTTAAGGCCTAAATAGACACTTAAATGCAAATCAGGGCATCCATATCAGGAACAAGCTGTCCCACAGAGATGCCCATATTTGATACTGTTCCTATCAGCTCACAGTGAACACACTAGTACCAGCAGAAATAAGCACGCATCTGCCTCCTCACAGATACCCAAATGCAATCTCTTATGCACTATCATACACAGCCCGACACTGCAGCAATCTTAGCCAAATAAACCAAAGAACATCAGTGTCCTCATATTTGCAAATAGTGACAGACTACCAAATGCTATTACTCATACACACACAAATAAATAGCAAAACTACATACATCCATCCCCAGTCACACCTATTTGTAGCTGTGTGTTCATATGCATCTAATGTATGCATTTATATACAAACAATAAAAGTATGCGTTTGTATGTAAATTCAAATTATACACCTGGACATGTTAAATATACAGAAATACCCCAGTGTTGTATCTTTACAAGAAGTAAAACATATTTTTGCACATAAACTTTTGATTCCTACCATAACATGAATTTAAGGACATACACAAACATATTAACACACTTTTTATGGATATGTCTGAGTGAATATGTGCATTGTCAGATATTCACCCAATGCATTCCATGTTCTTCTGGTGAAATAAAGCTCATCCCAGTTACCTGAGAGTCAGAGCTTTCTTGCTTCTGTAAGAAATCTCTCTCTTACTTGTGTGTTGGTATGGTTACCTACAGCTGTAGGAGACACCTAGATCTTCATCTCTGAAACCTCTTCTTCAACCGACAACCCAAAAAAGAGTCATTATTTGTCCTTCTTGATCAAATAGCTTTTGTTCTTCCTAAACTTCAGCCACTAAGTGATCACATATTCCTTGTGCCAGTTCACTAAAACACAAAACATGATATTCTCACACAATCACACATGCACAGAGCTACCAAACATAGGAGAGAGGTCCAGCTCCCTAGTGGAAGGCTCACAGACGGACAGGTATCCATCCTGTTTAGGCCCTAGAAACTCACAGTACCGTAAGAAGTTTCCAAAATAGGATTAGTGATGTCTCTAACTACCCTGATGTAGAATAAGTGCATCTGATAAACAGCTTTACTTTTACTGACTCTCTAGACCAACAGGATTTATTGTGCATAGAACAGAAATAAATGAGGGTAAGACCATTATGTATAATGGACTCTCAGAGGGTCACCTCTGCTCATATCTAGGATCTAAACTCTCTGAACAGTTTTATTCCTCTTCCCATATGTCCTCCAAAAGCTTTGGAGAGATTCAGCCCATTTCTTCCCAAGCAATTTTCCTCTTTTATCATTTATGGGGATCTTCTTTCAAATTTAAAACAGAAAATCTTTTCACTACGTTAGTTATTGCTTGAGTCAGATTTTTGGAGGGACGTAAACCCTCCCCCTCCTTTTGCATTCGCAGTCTGTGGCTCTCTGATGGTAGAGTCTGCGTGTGCAAAGATATGCTCAGAGGCCTGCAAACGCAAATGCCTTGGTGTGCAAAATTAGAACTGGTGCTGAAGCCCCCATTTCTGACATGTGTCAGTCATGTTGGTTGCAATGGGGTCTTCAGTGAGTGAGGAGGACAATGGTCTTGTGACGACTGCACTGGAGGAAGGCCTGAGTCCTACCCCAGGCACTCTCACAAGACGGCAGTTACTGCGGGTGAGTCACGACAGCCTTTGCACCGTGGCAGTGGTAATTATACCCCTGCATCTGCTGCCGTGCCGAGCCGGCCGTTGGCACACAGCGGTATCTCCAGGGATTAATGTTTGCAGACTCTGCAATGAGGTGCCCAAGGTGTTGGTACTGATCATGGGTGGTTTTCATCTGCTATTTTATCTAAGGCAGGAGGGCAATAATGCCTTCTGCATCCAGTCTAAGGAGTTTGAATTGTTTTATCTCTTGGTGTTGATGAAAGCAGAACAAATGGGATGACATGTTTGAAAATACCAGGTCTGTGAAGGATGAAACAACAGAGCCAGAGCGCTCTGTTCCATCCAGCACAGAGATGCCTCTGGGAAGGTTATGAGTGGCAAGCTGGTCATTTCTCTGGCACAACCTACTTTTGCACAGACGTAAACCAGTGTGTGTCCTAGTTTGCTATGCACTCTGAGCAGCTGCCATTAGAGTTTCCAGAGGAGCCTGTGGTTAAATAGCAAAAGATCATCCTTCCTAAACTGACCAAGGGCACCGTCTCCAGGGATGTGTGGTGAGGCTGGAGGACACCTGGAAGGCAAGGACAAACTCCCCACGGTTGAGGGGGAAAGCTGAGAGTGAGACGACAAAAGAGATCACGTTTCTGTGTTTCCAAATTCTCAGATGTTTTGGATTTGCCTGGGAGCCATGAGAGGAATTAGAAAGGGCACATAAACCAGAAAGCAGTGCATTTCCATGCTCATCTCTTCTTCCTGGTGCAGTGTTGGAATTTTCCTATACTCTTTTATATCCTCCCTTTTCTTCCAAGAAATTCAAACTGGATGTTTGAAGTTGCAGTGTTTCCTGAACATGGTGAATCCTTGTCCTGTTTTGTTTGTAGATGACCTTTATGATGTATATGTTGTGTGTCTGCCTTCATGCTTGGTTTCAAAATGCTTGTCTATGGAGTTGAGGCTGGGGGGAAGGGGGAAGTTCCTACCTTTTTGTGGGGACTGACTGTAGGAGATGGCACTGGGACATTGGCTGCAAGAGAGTTTGTGGCTGTCACTGTCCTGCCAGATGGATGGGGATCAAGCAGTGATCCAAGCAGACGATGGTATAGACCTGCTGGTTACAGAGGCTGCTTCTAGCTGTTTTGATCTGTCTGTGTCAGTGGGAGCTGCGGTAGGAGATACAATCAGAGCTCTAGAGGAGATCATAACTGCTGCAGGACAGTCTCTGCTCCAGGACTTGGTGCTGGGGGATGATCTAGGAGCTTCATGAAGGTGCTCATAGTACCACTGAGTGGGGAGGCCACACGTATTGCTGTGCTGGCCCAGGTCTCTTCTATTTTGGGGGAGCACCTGTCATTCCCCTGTCCAGCAGATGAGAGGGAGAAGGGCTTCCGCAGAAAAGTGTGCAGGCTAACACCCCTCCCATTAGGGAGGAGAGCTGGGAAGCCTTGCTAGGTGGATGGTATTAAACATGTCATCACCTTCTTGTTTCTTCTCTCACTTTCTGGCTTGTCCCAGAACTGTTTGCACCAACAAGTGCTATTCTGAAACTATGTTTGTGGCAAGAAAATGGCTTTAACATAGTATGTTCTCTTTTTGCAGGACAGAGAACTGCGTCCTGAAGAAATTGAAGGTAAAATTTGTTGCTCCTTCTGTGTCACCTTTCTCCCTGCCCAGTGAAAACCTACTGGCTTGTCCTTCCAGGTTGGCTCCTGTGGGGTAAAATATTCTGGGGCAAATCAAGAGAGATGATTACTGGAATAATTCCTGGAAACCCCAGCAAAAGAAATAGTATTTAAAACTGCAAGAGTGCTGACTGTGAGGGAATTTGCATCCATTCCAGCTTCTTCAGGGTGGGAGGATAAGTAAAGTAATGGGATATTGGCTGTCAGGGAACTGCTGTCCACCCCAGCTCCTACAGAAGTGTTGTAGAGTGTGCTACAATAGTATGGCTCCAGGGAAGCTGTTTTACCTGCTAATCCCTACAGTGAGGGCTATATAATATCGTGCAGGGGGAAAAGTTGGGAAAACTTGCTACTTTCAGTTTCTTTAGGGAGTGCAGTTTAGCAATGATCAGTTTGTGACACTTGTAGTCCAAGCAAGCTTTCCTGTAAAGAATGGGTCATCACAGCAGTGCTGCTGATAGAAGAACTTAACACTGCACCAGTCATTGCCTCTTTGCAGGGAGAGCTGCTGGGAAAATATGGAGTATCTTAGGGAGTCTGACCTCATAAAGTGCTGCTGATTCTGGGGAGATTTCTTGGAACAGGTATTTCAAGCTGTCACTGACAATATTGTTCTTTTTGGATCCACTCCCACAGAATTAAGAGAAGCCTTTAAGGAGTTTGATAAAGACAAGGATGGGTTTATTAACTGCAGGGACCTGGGGAACTGCATGCGAACCATGGGCTACATGCCTACGGAGATGGAGCTAATAGAGCTCTCCCAGCAGATCAACATGAACTGTGAGTAATATCCACGTAGCTGTACCTCCCTGTTGCTGCTGTGCCCTGCATCATTGCCTCAGGCTCTCTCCGTCTCTTCCTGTCTCTTTTCCTTTAGATTTCCCCCCACCTTTTCTTTTCGTTCTCATTTTCAGTCCCTGTCATCTCTCCTGTTTGTTTGTGGTCCCTAGAAGTTGATGCCTTTGTTTCGTGCTTATCAAAGGGACTGTGTGGACTGCACTGCATGGGAACAGTGAGTGGAAGGGTTGTTCTTTGTGCTTATGCTGTCAGGTATAAAACTGCCCTTGATGTGGGCAGTTAGACATCAGTACACAGGTTCTGGGTGTTGTCATACTGAAGCTGTTGTCAGATGGAGTTAGACTGAAGAAAGGGCCTGGGAAGATGGAGGTGTTTTGGTCAGATGGATGGTGGATGGGCTGTTCACTCTGTGGTGGTTGTCTGTGGATCTGCTGTGTGCCTGGGATGGGCTGCGAGTGAGCTGTGCTGGCAGTGTCAGATGGGGGCATCTGCTGGAGTCATGGAAAAATGTGACAAACGCACCCAATTCACTGTAACTGTCTTTGTGCCCTTTGTCTTTAACCATCAGTTTTTTGTTGCTTCTTGTCTATGGCAGTGCAGGGTTTTACCCTCAGCCAGGTTGTGAAAAGGATGTTTCTCTTATTTCTGACACATGATGATGTAAAAAGGACAAGTTACTTGGTCAAGGGAAGGAAAACAGTTGTGACATATGCAACCAGTCACACACAAAAGCAGCTGATAACCCTGGCACGCAAGTGCTTAGGAATTTGAGAGTATTACTGCCAGCTTTCAGATAGGGGGAAACAAGAAAAAGGACTAATATGATGAATAAACAGTTGGACATATATTAGCCTCTGCTAACAGAGTAAGACTCCACTGCTGCTGCAGGGCAGTGCCCAGGCTACACAGGAACATCATGGTGTGCCCTTGCTGTACCCTTTGGCACAGGTGCAGCAGGAGGTTGCTATAAGCACTGTAATGATCAAGCCTTTAATACCTGGGACATGATGGCATAAAGATGTGACAGTCCGTGGCAGCCTAGGATGGAATAGTTTGGGCTCATTCCGCCTAGCCCACAATCCAGAAAATACAAAGACAGTGTAAAACTACCTCTGCTTTTCCTTTCACTGTCCTGCACCTTCTGTGCTTTGCTTCCTGGAGAACCAAGTCCTCTCTGGGGCACACAGAAGTGCAAAGTGAGTGCTGGGCTTGGCTAAAGTATGGAGTTCTTACACACGATCTTTCATCTTGTCCCAAGTGGGTGGCCATGTGGATTTTGAAGATTTTGTTGAGCTGATGGGACCAAAGCTGCTAGCAGAAACTGCAGACATGATTGGTGTAAAAGAGCTCCGCGATGCCTTCAGAGAGGTGAGTGCTCCCTACCGCATGCCCCCCAGAGAGGTGAGCAGCAAGAGACAGGAAAGAGAGATGACCCACTGGGGAAGAGAAGAGGAGGAGGAGGAGAGAGCAGCACAGTGGAAGACAGAGAATGAGCCAAGCCAGGCATGAAACAAGGGAGGAGCAGAGAAAGTCACTAAGATAAGGGAACCCCTGAGGCAAGGAAGAGGAAAGCTGGTGCAGACACAGAAGTTACGAGGGGTTTCTGAGGATAAAAGGCAGACTGGATCCAAAAGGCACCCCAAGGAGGAAAAGGAGGGACACAAAAGGAATGCAGGAAAGATAGGGCGCTCAGGAGCAAGACAATACAAAATCCAACCCAGACAGGATCCATTTCCATTAACTGTATTTCCCCTGCTGGTATTTTTTATGTACTTGCAGTTTGACACCAATGGTGATGGGGAGATCAGCACCAGTGAGCTGCGAGAAGCCATGAAAAAGCTTCTAGGGCAGCAGGTGGGCCATCGGGATATTGAAGAGATCATCCGGGACGTGGATCTGAATGGAGATGGGCGTGTTGATTTTGAAGGTGAGAAGGGATGAATGCTCCCTGTCCATCTGCTCTGGTGTGAGTCAGAGTTTCAGCTCAGAGGCGGAAGCAGAAGGGAAGATTTGCATGCTCAGGGCCCAGGTATCTGAAGTATGGAGAAAAAAATCAAACAAGATTTTTTTTCCCTAGTCAGCTGAGGAAAATGGAGAACATTGGCCCACTCAGGAAATTCCTCAGCTGAAGTGTTCATTTGCGTGTCATCTTTTGCTGCATCTCAGTTTCAATTGGGTCTCCATGACTCTAGCATGGTAGGAGATATGCCCTGTCACAGAGAAACAGATTCTACTGCCAGCCTTCTTTTTATAGGGCATTTTCCTTTCTGTTAAAAACACTGCAAGAGCTGTGAGGAGGCTGGATTGGTTTGGAGAATGCATTGCACCTTCCATTTTCTCTGGCTCACCTTGTTGTCTGGGTTTATAGAGAATTTGTTTCTGTGCCTTTATGCCAGAAGATGGTCACATGCCAGATGTGCTCACTAGGACAGCAGATATCTGATCTAGAGGTGTCATACTAAATCCTAGAGATAATTCATTTCTTCTCCCACTTTTCATGCCAGAAGGACTTGGAAAAATAAGAGTGGTTAGGCTACTATCCCAGCCATTAACCATGGCAGGAGCAATATTAAAAGAGCTCAGGGTTTCTGGCAAGGGAAGCAGTTGAAATCAGACAACTAAGTGGATATAAGAGCTGGAAGGTGTGAGAGCATGGCAGGCTGCTTGTTTTCCTAGTGCAAATCCAGACATCCCTTTGCAGTAAGGGTGAAGCACAGGAACTACAGAATTAAAATAAAATTGACATAATTTTTTTGGCTCAGAGGCATTCCAGGGTCTCCTACATGACAAGGAATCTCAGTCCTCAGCATTACTGAAGCTTCTGAGGGCTTTGAAAATGCTAAAAAACTAGAAGTGTCTCCCTAGAAAGTATCTGGTAGCTGCAGTTGTTCTAATGCACTGGCTGATTACATGACAGTAGCTCTCCTTGTTTCCCACAGCTAAATTATGTTAGACAGCTAAAATACATGAAATGCTATCCCAGTATCATTTTCTCTGTGAGTTACTGCTTTAGTTGTCAAAGGACAGCTCCATCAATGGAAAAGAGGAAGTCAAGGTGGTAATTTACACTGCCCTCCTCTTTGCAGAGTTATTAGTTCCTCAGCAGTTCAAGTGCAGGATGAAAACACATTTATATTTGATGACATTTGCACTCAATTTGAACAATTGTAATTGACTTCACAAGCAGCAGGGTGGTGAAGAAATAGATCCAGGGTATCCTTACAGTTAACCTGTATCTTTAAAAACAAGAAGTCCATCAAAGTAAGCTTTTCTCTACAAAAATGCTGGTACCTACCAAAACACTAGTGCTTTCCCACACTGGTGTATCTGTGAAGTGGCAAGCTTACTAAGAAATCATACTGTGTTCCCAAGACTATAAATCAAATTTCCCTGAAGTTACAGTGAAAGGCGACAACACTTGCCGTAGCATCTCACAAGGAGTTGCTTGTGCAAACAAGACTCTACACTGGCTGGGCAGGAGTCCAAGGCAATGAACTGACCTGCTAGTGGGATGAATTGACCTGCTAGTGGGATCATATCACCATATCTAATGCAAGGATTAAAGCCCATTTTGCCTGAGCTCTCTAGGGCCAGTCACAGAGCAGCACAGATCTGCTGGCAGTGTGTGGACTCTCGGTTTCACCCTGGCTGCTTGCTATCTCCAGGGAATGAGAGATGGGTTGGGGACCATGGATGCCTTCTGCTTCAGGACTGTCTTTTCTCGTTGGTTGCAGAGTTTGTTCGCATGATGTCCCGTTGAAGATTATTCTCAGCTAAAGACGAATCAGCACCTTAGAGAGGGCAGAAGAGGACCTAGATGGAGCATCTAGCCCCGATGTTCCCACATGAAGGTTTATCGGCTGGCTGCAATTGGGACATTGCAAGAAGACCTGCTGCTCCTCCCTCATGGTGGTCCCCATGCCCCTCCACCCTTTCACACTGTGAAAGACTTGCAACTTCCTACAACTGGAACCATTCCTTGGAGATGATTGCAGGAAACTGCAGAGCCAGGACTTGCCATGATGCTTTCATGGGATATTTGCAACTTTAGACTCCTCCTCCCCAGCTTTATTCTCCCACCAGCTGCTGCAAAGCAAAAGCAGGAGAAATCCTTGTGGCTTGGTGGATGAGAGCAAAGCCATTGGGACTGGTGGCAGCCTCAGGGCGTGCTCTGCACTTCTTGGTTTCCCTTGGTGAACCGTGTCTGTGTTTGCTGTCTGTGTGTGTCTATCTGTGTGGAGTTATTTATGCTTCCCCGGCACATATTCGCATCTCCTGTGGTTATGTTTACCAAGAGCAAATTCAAATACATGTCTTGTGGGGGGAAAGCGATAAATATGCACGCTGAAATGATGTGGAGCCTGGGTGTCCCTGTGAGAGGTGGTGGCTGGGACTGGGGAGAAGGGCTGCGGCAGAAGCACACCTCAGCATCTGCACCGGGGTCCAGAGGCAAGTCCTTGCTGCAGGAAGGGGAGTCAGTGCTGGCCACTAAGCCTGTGGCAGGGCTCTGCCCTCCTTCCTGCTGTCCTCATGGCGAAGGGGCCTGGAGGTGCCTCTTGGTGAGGGCAGTGTGGAAGGTCCCCAGCTCTGCATCCCTCTGGCTTGTAAAGGGGGCAGGTGAGAGCCCCTGTGTGTCATGGCAAGGAGCAATGGGAGAAAGGGCACAGAGGGGAGCTGGGTGGGAGGGGGATAGGCAGCAATAGCCAACCCTCCCCCCTTTCAGACCATTTCAAACACAACTGTGAGCATATGCACAGTGGGGGCTGTGCTGTGGGAGCTGAGCTTTAACACTGTCGGTGCCAGGGATTGGTTGGGAGCCTCTTTGTGTGGCAGTGCCCTGCTCCGAAGCTTGTTCACACTCAAAAATGCTGCATGTGTCTGCAGCAGTGACAACAGCAGCCTCCAGGCCCTACCAGCTGCTTCCAGACACATCAGATGCTCATCTTCCTTCCCCTTTCCCCAACATGATCCCAACCTCCTGCTCCCTTCCCCTATTCTACATACCTACAGTTGTCCCCTTTCTGTATGCAGAGGCTCAGTCACACGTCAGGGCTAATTTCTGCTTCGCTTCAAAGGGCATCACCATTGCTATGTGTTTCTCAGTGTGACTGGGAGCTGTTTTCCTTTCAGTTGCCCCCTTACTCCAACTGGGAGGTTAGAGACCAATATCCTCCTGCTTCCTCCGTCTCAAATCTTTCCCTTCCCAGGTTCCCTTTCAGGCTCTTGGGGTCCACAAATCCATGTCCCAAAGGAGGATTTTCTCTTCTGCTTTCCTGTTGCTGTGCCAACCAGCATAGCTGCAGCAATGGCTGATATCCCAGCAATGGAAAAACTATGTTTCTCCGTGTATTTGTGTGTGTGTACTCAAGTTTGCACAGGCGTGTGCACTGGGAAAGGTTTCTGTGTGCGTGCATAAAAATGGGGAGTGCAGACAGGTACCTGGAAGTGCAGCAGTAGAAGAGTTTGTTTGCAAGTGGGTGTATGCAAACTATGTGTGTATCTATGGAGCTGGTGCAGTCTTAGAAATGTGGGTGTGAGCCAAGAAATTGGAAAATGGATATTTACAGATCTCCATATTTACTGGTACAGCAGCTGTATTGTGCTTAGGAGATGGGGGTGATAAACTGAACAGAGTCCAGAGTCCGGGTGAGTTATGTATGTACTTAGGATAATACAGGGGAAGGAGAGACCTGTGCAGGCTTGTGTCTGCCATAGGGAGTGTTTGTACACAAATGTGCTTCACTCACAGTGGAGCCCACTGAGGAAGAAGCATGCGTGTGTAAACAGAGCAAGAGGACAGCTGCACTGCTTGCCTGCATGCAGCAGTGACTGCGCCTGCCCACAGGGACCGGTGACGACTCGGGGCACATGCCTTGTGCCATAGCCAGCATGCACAAGCCCGACGGACAGTCAGTGGCGACAGGCACGGTGGCTGCCTCTGCCTGGTCCCTCCTGGTTCCTGCACCGAGAAGCTGCATGTTTTGGCCACAGCAGCAAATGGCAGACACAGTCTTAATTTATTTTAAATTGTAAACCCATTTCTAGAGGCTGCACTGATGCATAGCACAGCATCATGGTGGCTGGGAGTGTTCTCTGTGAACTACTGCCATTTTCACTTAGGCAGGTCCCTGTGTTTGTACCATGGTGTTTGTCTTCCCAAGAAATGCAGGGACACTGGTGCTAGGGGAAGGGTGACTGCAGGGCACCTTGGTGTCATTGCAGAGGCAGTCCTGGAGCCACAGCTACTTCCGAGGAAAGCTGGGTCTCTGCCAAATGATCTGTAGCTCTTTTCTGCCAGGTCTCACCATGATACAGTGAACAGGTCAGACAGGGCAGGTCTCCAAAGCATTAATTTTTTTTCCTTCCAGCAGAAGCTCTTGCTGCAAGCCTGGTTTTACTTGCCCAACAAACCCCAAATAATCTCAGGGAGTTTACTATTTTCTTGTGTGGACAGGGTCAGAGATTAAAGCTCCAATCTAAATAATCTAATTCCAGAGATAATCCTTTTGCTCTCATCTCCAATCCGGTACCAGGGAGGCTTCTAAATAGCTCCACACAGCAGGGCAGAGCTGGTGCCCTCTGGGTGCCTGAGCCCCATAGCCCCATGTGGCTCGGGAGCTGGCCCAGCCAGTGGGGCTGGCTCACACTGACTTCTTAGATGTCTTGTTAGCCATGAGGTCTGCTTCTGACCCACACGTCTCTGTTGCTCTTTTTGGACATGCCAAATCCCGATCCCTTTTTTCTGCAGTAAATGGCTAATACCCAAAACACGTGCCCCACACCGTTTGTGAATGGTCAGGGCTGTAGACCAGGCAGGACTGATTCAAGACTGAGAGTCATTCTGGCACAGCTGCCAGGGAACAGGGAGAGATCAAGGGATTGAGAAGACAACCCTGAGCCTTTCACTTGTAGGTTACTGGTGTAAATCCAGCCTGCATCAAGGGACTGATGGCTCAGTGGATTAGTAACAGGATACAGAGCCTTTGACATCTGGGGCACAAGCTGGCATCAAGTTGTTGGTGACCGCAAGTAATGATTCAGGGGCAGCAGTGTAGAACATCGCAGGCACAGGCCATCGCAGCATGTCTGCCAACCTCTGCCAGCGGCCATGGCCAGACTGTGAGCCAGGGCAAGTGCTCTTGCACCTGGATGAGCACCACCACTATCCCTCCTCCCTTGCTGCTGCTCAGTTAATTGCTGCATGATGGGTTGCTGATTCTTGGGAAATAATCCAGGGCAGTTATTAGAAGATGCTCTGACTGGGGAGGCAGAGGAAGTATTGCAACGCTCAGTGCCTTGCCCTCTAAAATGGCTGACAGAGGGGAAAGAGAGGGGGTTTTCTTCTTTTTCAAGGGAACTCTTCTCTTTTCAAGGAAGAGTTGCTGATATTTCACTGTGAGATGTGCAGGAGCCCTGGGAGCCCTCAAGAGGGACCCCAGGCTTGGCACAGCCATGGAAGCCCCTGGTGACTGTTCCAAGGCAGGGGATGAGCTGGGTTAGCTCCTAGCTGCCATTGTACAAGTCTGGGGCCAAAGAGGCCCCTTCAGCTGATGGAACTGTCCAAGTCATACCTAAATGTTAGCTAGTAAATCCCTTCATGTCTGAATTCCTGCTCATGGGCACATTTTGTCTAGGCCAAGCAGTTTGATGCTAGGTTTGTAATGAAGCCCCAGCCACCGGCTGCACGACCCCTGTGCCCACGGAGGCAGCGAAGGTCCTGCACGAGCCTCATGATCCCCAGCTCACTGAGAGGCACCAGGGTTTCAGCCAGGCTCCGCCCAGCCAATGCTTGGGTTCCCGTTGCCATTGTGTGTGTGTGTGTGTGAGACCTGCAAGGGCCCTGCTGACCCGGGAGCCAGTTGCCCCAGCCCACTTGGGCCATGCAAGGGGCTGTGTGTGGCCCTTGGCAGGACCTTTGCTGCCCTGGTGGGTCTCAGAACTGGAAATACGGGAATTCGTACCCATGGACATTGCTGTTTGTAACCTCAGCCCTGCCGTCTCCTTGGCCCACTGATGGTTCACACCATCCCTCTTCTCACTTCACTTTTGCAGCCCATGGCAGTAACCTGGTAACAAAAAAAGTGTTTACATGCTTTGAAGTTGTGCTCCTGACCCAAGTGCTTCGCAGTTTAAGCTGAGAAATCTTGAGAGATTAGGGAGGATCGTCTGTAATCAGTACAAATGAGCTCTAACGAGGCTTCCCTCAGCCTCGCCAACTGGACAGCATTGTTCTGGCCACGGCTGCTTGCACTCCTTTGCTAACTGAACTTGGGGGACACCCAACAGGTCACAAACACAGCAGGGATACGGGAGATTAGTCTGGATTTGATCAGACGCTGCCAGGACTGGGGTCTGTAATATTGAGACAATTTGCCAGGAGCCAGCATGAGGTGGCTTAATCTGGAGAGGTGCTAAGCATGTGCATTTTACACTACTTTTCTGGATGCGGTTTCCTAAGCTACCCTGCAGTTTCAGGAACCCCTTTCCTGGCAGCAGTGCTGGTGTGGGAACACAGCAGCGCCATGTCTGCCCTGGCCCAATTATACCATGAGCCCAAAAGCCAATGCGACAGCAGCAAGGGTGCGCTGCGGGGCCCACTCTGACCTGGGCAGAGCAGGTTAGGGAGCAGGGGGTGGGTGGATACGCTCCCCTCACCAAACTGACTTCACTTCTCCAAGGCTGCATCCTGTTAAGACGCCTCCAGGGTACATTACAAAAGCAACGAGCCCATTTAATTCACAATCTACAGCTCCTAAGTCT